TTGCTTCCGAGGTGTCAAGAATTTCACTCCTCATCACAACAGAGGGATCAAAACAAAAGTTCAGTATCTCCCCATTACAAAATACTTATTTCGTACATAACAACAGCTCATTGCTTGAACGGGAGAAAAATTCCCCCCCCCCCCCAAAAAAAAAGATAAAATTGAAGAGACAACATTCCTCAGCGAGCAATTGTAATCATGCTCCCCAAGTCGGGAATGTTACATGTGACCTTTTGTCATGGGATAGGAATGCATTGAAACAGTCAACAGGAACACAACAATCCAGCAGTAATTTCTCCGGTCCAAAATCTCAAAACCAGTCAAAGTTTGCTCGTATAAATGCAAAGAGAATGTCAGCAACTCACAGTGTCATGGACAAAAACAAAACCACAATGAAAGGAAAAAAAAACCCCACACACGATTATAATATTTGTTTTTCGTATGTACAACAGTCTTATAAGTACTCTTTTTTGCTCTGCGACAGGTGAAGGATGGTTCTCTGCGACAGGTGAAGGATGGTTCTCTGCGACAGGTGAAAGATGGTTCTCTGCGACAGGTGAATGATGGTAAAAAACTGCAGCTGTTGGTTTGAGGTTACAACTCCATGATATATAACATAAGTTTACCGGTGGCCAGTTGTGCAAATGTACCCCTTAGAAAAAGAGTGGCCTGACTCCACTTTTGGTGAAAGCCGAGTTATCAGTCCCATGGTGTAAACAACTACCATCTCTCTCGATTAAAAATGAAGGTCTCACTCCAGTGCGATTATTTTTATAATTTAAAAAGATCTTAAAGCAGCAGTTTTGACATAATAATCTTATTCATGAAAATCAAAATCGCATTTTTCTCAGAACATACATAGAAAAGTGGAGATAGACCACTGATGAGCACAAATGTACTGAGCCCAAAATGTTGCTCTCTGGGCTTAAAACAGTTATTAAACAGCTAGCCAACAATATACATAACATGTTTCACTCCGTAAGTGTACGATTGACAAACATTAACAAAGCCTTGATACCTGGTAGGAGAGCCTGATAAAGTAACATATTTCTCTCCAGAGAGTTAGTGAAGTGAATGCCAGTCCCTGTGAGCTTAGAAGAGTCCCATTTGTGAATGGACATCGCTTTTTCTCACTTAATATTTCAATAACAACTATATTTCACAGAACTTTATCCATTTTTGACTTAACCACAATTTATCCATATTTGGGATCCGACATTCTTGGATCTCTTGGATCAGGTTTTCAAATCCATGGAAAACTAAAAGGACTCTTTTTCCAGAGGATTTCTCAGGTCAAGGCTTTGAGAAAAAACAAAAAACCGATGGGTAGATAAAGGTGAGGGTGTGGTTGAACTTAAAAAACAATCAATGTTTCCACTATTACTTCATCTCGAGTTCATGCGTAGTGCCGTCTATCAGCAGGAAAATTGAACTTTCCATTTGTCCAGCTAAAACACAATGATCGTGCTCAATGATATGAAAAGGACATTCGCTTTAATATTCAGAACAAAAATATACATCTGTGGCGTTCGCATACATCCCTATGTCTTATTTATAACACAGCTAAGGAAAGCACACAGTAAAATTCACAGCAATTGTAGCAAAGTTCTCTCAATAATCCAAAAGAATCAAACAGGAAGGCTGAAGTTTAAGAATTGTGTCGACTGCTTATTGTGAGGTAAGACTCCATTATACGCCATTTTGAAAAGTGACAAACGACAGAATCTTCCACTGAGCAGCTGACATTGTACCGAACACAAAGTCTACCAAATCAGGGGGCTATGTACAAATGATATGATCCGATATGTATGGTGAAAGAATAGGCCTCAGGAAGAACAGTACGTGGTGAAATGAGGCACACATACCGATAAGTTCACTTCACAGCACTGCGCAAATACTATGTGCTTTCACTTCCACAACTCTTCAATCTAGAGTTTTAATCAATAAATAATTGAAACATATCAACAAACTTCTCTTAAGTCACGTAGTTATTGAGGAAAATACTGCAATACAAAAAAAAGTCACACGTATCCATGATAAATATTTCGAGATTTGCAGAATGTGGTGACAGGAAGAACGAGGGATGATTTCTTAATTTAATAATGATTCAGACACCTTCGCTGGAAGAAAAGGAAGAATAAACAGCAGTCTCAGTCAGCTTTTGTCTCAGCATGGAAGCTCAGGGTCAGGAAGAAAGATATCCCCATTGTCATTCTCTCCCTGAAAACTTTGACAGCTCACGATCAATGTTGCTGCTCCTTGAAACCATTTTGCTCAGATATCATTGAAAAGGAAGAGCTATAAGTAAAAAGTAAAGTTGTTCCCGCATCCGATCCGGACATTGGGGATCGCCTTGTTAGTGAGACAACTTCCTGGGCCTTCAGCATATTGTGGTAGGGTGGCCAGTTCCTTTCCATGCCGCCTTTACTTCCCCAACTCGAAGTCAGGAACCCATTAATGCTGGGTGGGCAGGAGGGGGCAAAAAAATCTGTGTCCGAACCGAGGCTCGAACCCGGACTTTCCGCTTCGGAGACGAGCGCAGAGCTATAAGTACTAAGAATAAATAACAATAGGAAATTTCCATTTTTCTTGTCAATTTTCCCCCCAACAGTTCTCATCGCAAAAATGTAACGTGTCAGACGATTCTGTAACAGATATGACATGTAACAGATATGACATGTAACAGATATGACATGTAACAGATATGACATGTACCATTACAATTGTTATTTAAGAAGACAATAAATAAAAAGTTGGACATCATATATCATAATATAAGTGTATAATATATATATATACATTGTATCATGGAAGCTGCAGACAGAAAATAGAACTCGATACTCTTGTTTGTAGTACTTCAATAGGTAGAAGGGTTTGAAGACGTTGAGAGGAAGGGGAGGGGGCGGGGAGGGGGTGTGGGGGCGTGGGAGGAGGTGTGGGGGCGGGTGTGGGGGCGTGGGAGGGGGTGTGGGGACGGATGAGGGGATGTGGGGGCAGCAGTTTACACAATCCCCGCGCTCCGTAAAGACACAACTCACAGGTGTGCGCTCACTGACGGGCTAAGAATGTATGGAAGAAATCAGAGTAACATAACACACAGCATAAACTGGGAATAACCAAATAATATATATATTTATATATATAATACGTTGAACACAAAAGACGAACAGTGTGGTAAAATATTTTATTCCAAGGTGATTTGTATTTTTCAGTAGTTAGATGTATGATATTATATTAATTTATATGACCTTTGCTCATACCGTACTCTCAATTACTCATGTGAAGTACAAATATTGTGATTTCGTGTTCTGCTGGTAATGATATGCAAATACGCAAAGGCGAAGGAGGCACTTGTCCTCATGAAACTTTGTCATTTGACATAATTATTTGTTGCCTTTTGTCAAATGATATGGGCTGAACGTAAGGCATGTTGGAAACTTGTGGTTTGAAAGCAGTACAAATAGGCAGCAGACACTTTGAAGCTGAAATATAATTGTCTTGAAACTTTTGATTATATATGTACATGTAACAATTCATATGCAGCATTCAACAGGAAAAGCTTTCTCGAAACACGGCCAAACTTCCAGCGTTTACGGGAGACTCTCGACCTTGACCTTTCAGTGGTTCCCATTGGGGCTAGGCCTGTCTCGACGTTTGCGGACCCGGTTGATCACTTGCAGGTATTGACCAATCAAATCAGAAATGTCTGAACCCTGTCAAACAAGGAAAGTAGGTGATTGATTATTGAGGAAAATTGTCAAAATTCAAGAAATAAATATTGATATGTATTAAAACAATTTATATATGCGGTACAACGTGGTGGTACCAGGCGCTTGTCAATTTTTACGTATTTGGAGCTATTGGTATCATCTGAAAGCTGTTTCATTTCCCTTGCTTCTAATGAAATAAATATCCATCTATCTTGAGTAGAAGTCAAAATCTTTCCGATTGAAGGAAATGAGGTTGCCTGGTATCAGTGGTGAAATTAGCGAAAAAATCGGCGTAAAAGTTTGGTAAAGAGCCCTTTAAAACTGAAAAATGACATATTTTGTACCTTTAATCAATGTTTTTCAGTAACATTCCCATGGAAATGTGTTTTTATATGGACATGGAAGGGGTTGAGCCCCCCCCAAAAAAAATTCGATAAAATCTTCCTAACTCACCAACTGGAGAAAAAATGCCTTTTTCTCCGATTTCGTTATTTTGACGAGTGCCAGAGTCCACCACGTCTTGACACATATATATACATAGAGTCAAAAGTATATATATACATAGAGTCAAAAGTATATATATACATAGAGTCAAAAGTATATATATACATAGAGTCACAAGTGTCCAAGATAACCACCGATCTAGAGGAGAAAAGTGTTTATCTTAGACAGGTAGACGTCTTTTTTTTTTTTTGTAGCTGTTTTACGGCCATCCAAACTGCACAAGGTCATATAAGCGCACAGGACACATTAAACTTTTTCAGTTGGTAGGAAATTTAGAATTTTGCCCGGGGCGGCGGCTGAAGCCTACTCTTATCGATTTTAGACCACCAAGGGATCTTTAACGTGCACAACTTGTACACGGGCCCTCCGAGATTTTTCGCCCTTGTCCGGGTAGGCTTGGTGTAGATCTTTCCTACCAGAAGATCAGGGGTGTGGCAGAAAGACAGCAGTAAGGAGGAGCCAAGGAGTAGAAAGGCTGCAGAAAGATAGAGTAGCTCAGAGGAGGGGGCGAAGGAGGTGAGGGGGTGGGGGCAGAAAGAGAAGACGAAAGCAGACGACAGAACATTGCTAGAGAGCAGGAAAGGTGAAAGAAGACAATTTTAGAAGAAAAAATGTTTTCTGTCGCTACCCGGATTCGAACCCGGGACCTTTGAATGAGAGGCAAACACCTTAACCTCTAGGCCATGAGAGCCCCCTCACCTGGTCTTTTCAGTTTTAGTAAAAGCTTTACGGCACTTGCAACACAACAAGGTCATATAAGTGCCGAAGAATAGAGGTGTTACAAGAGAGTAACAAACACAAAAAAGAAGGAGGGGAGATAAAGATGATAGATGTTTGATAGGAAAGAAGGAGCAAACCATACCAGAATACCCGCCAACCACCCACTCACCTGGTCAGTCTCAATTCGGAGTATCTCCTGCACCATCAGGTTGCCCAACTTCATGTCCAGGTAGTTGACGCCGCTGTCGTCATGGTAACGGCGAGTGGACAGGATCTCGCTGAAGGAGCATTGCCTGATAAGCTCGTGAGTGTCTTGCTTCAGGAAGGAGATTCCTTCGTGGTTTACAGCCAGCATGCAGCGACCACCAACGTTGGGAATACTCTGAGAGCGACAGAAATATATAAGAATTTTGTACACATCACATGAACCTTCATCAAGCAGCAGCAGGAGCAAAAACAGCAACAGCAATAACAACAACAACAACAGCAACAACAACAGCAACAACAACAATAACTACAACAACAACAACAGCCAGCATGCAGCGACCACCAACATTGGGAATACTTTTTTTTCCCTTTTTTTTTTTAAAGTAGTGTTTTTACAGCACTTGTAACTGCATAAGGTCATATGAGCACTAAAGGGTGGATGTCAACAGAGGAGTCCTTACAGGGAATCAGGCGTACTCTGCTCACCTCTCTAACCTCAACAGCACAAAGTCTGCTTCGACTATCAAGGCACCCTGGATATAGTAATTCACAAGAGAGTGGCAAACATACAAAAGAAGTAGAGGAAAAATGATGATAGTGAGGATGAGGAAAGAAAAAGCAGGTCGTTCCGGCACAGTATGAGCATGACATTGTTAAATCAGCCCATTTATAATTTTACTGTGCATTAGAACATGTTAATATCTCCCATTTGGGAATGGCCTTAAGACACTTCGGTCAGTAGCACTGCATGGGGGGGGGGGGGTGTCAATCTGATAACCAGCAAACACTTACATTGATCATGAAGAACGTTGAACCAAACAGGCGCCATCTTCTCAGGATTTCTGAAGAAAAAATTGATAAAATACAAAAGTTTAAAGTGAATTTTCATATTGAAAGTATCAGCCAAGACACATGATAGCAACACTCAAAGTTAAATCTACAAACAAGGATTTTATACAGGGAACTGTATCCTTTTTCAAAAACAGAGGACTTAGCCAAAGTTTTAACGTACACCAAACTAGTGGAGAAACAGAAGATCCAAGATAAGTATCTGTCAGTACCCAAAATCCACGAAATACGCAAGGCATTGGCAAGTATTTTAAACTATTTTAGTGATCATTTCTGCCAAAAAGAAACTATGTATACGTATCATCTCAGCTCTCCATCCCTCCCCGTTTCAGGTTTAGAAACAAAGACTATAAACAAAACCCATAAAAATATTCCGTTAGAGGACACTGGGGGAACCTCAAACTCAAACAATCGAATCTTGAAAAAACCCCACTCCAACATAGTGGTACCGAAACTTCTCTATCAAAATTGCACCTTGTAGCACTCAGGGAAGTGTAAAGCTAGCATACCAAAAAGCCCTTAGAAGACACCCTGAAAATGTCTCTGAAGGACTTCAACATTAATCCCTTGATGAGGGAAAGCCAAGCTCCTGACAGACCCAGTAACTGGAGAGGTGCAAGTCGTAGGAGGTTGCACCAATAGAAATGCTGAAGTCAAGAGAGAAGCCCACAAGCTGTGCACATTCACAAGTGGAAATGAAACTTATAAATACTCAAAATGTGGCAAACATTTTTCTTCCAAAATTAGTCTCATTGGCCATAGCAGACGTCATACATCATCTTAATCTATGTTTCTTTTGTCTTTGAGAACTGTCCTACTCTGGAGATGTATTGGTCCTCATCAGACTTTGATGGATGAACTATAATTGTTATTATTTCTATTATCATTAATATTATAATCATTATTATTATTATTATAATCATCATCATCCGGTGCCTTGCCGACAGGCGTGGGCGAACATGGACCTCCACTTCACTCTATCCTACGTTGCAGCGATGGTGTCTGTCGTTCTTGCTGTTCCCAGCCATGTTGTCAACCGGTCCAGTATCTTTTCCCTCATTCATAATAATTATTACTATCACGTTAAACTGGTCGCTTTTAAGGACAAGAGCGCTAACCCAGATTTCGGGGGTTTCCAGAAACCTTGACCTTCACCAAAAGTGAGCATTGTTTTACCTATAGGAGAAGTTTGGTTTCATTGGTGTGTATATATTTGTTTGGTTACAGAGAAAACTCTCCTTGTCTTTTAAAGAAACGGAACAAGGGGCAAACACTTTACCTTCGATTTTCTCAAAACAGCATTTTTCGGGATAGCCCCCTTGTGCTTAAAAGCGACCAACTATAACTACCAAAACAACACGCCCCCCCCCCAAAGTGTCATGTCCGCTACTGACCTACAAAGCGGCTCCTGGCCTCCAGCGTAGACATGCGTGCGGCGAGGGGCAGTTTGTCGTGGATGCTGTTGAGCCACTGCTGGGGCCGAGCGTCCGCGGATAGGCGGACCGTCCGGGGCACGAGGGCGTCCAGGTCTTTCCTGTGACGGGAAAGGGACAAAACTCTTCAACTTATGTTGTTTTAGTAAGGTTTTTGTTTTAGTAAGAGTTTTATGGCACTTGCAACACATTAAGGTCACATAGGTGCCAAAGATCAGAGGTGTTACAAGAGAGTAACAAACATAAAAAAGAAGGAGGAGAGATCACGATGATAGATGTTTGATAGGGAAGAAGGAGCAAACCACACCAGAGCACCCGCCAACCACCCTCTTAGTAAAGTTTTACGGCACTCGCAACTGCAAAAGGTCATATGAGCACCAAGGAGAGGATGTCAACAGAGAAGTCCATACAGGGAATCAGGCTTACTCTGCTCACCTCTCTAGCCTCAACAGCACAAAGTCTGCTTCGACTATCAAGGCACCCCGGAAATAGCAGTTCACAAGAGAGTGACAAACATACAAAAGAAGTAGAGGAAAATGACAATAGTAAGGATGAGGAAAGAAAAAGCAGCAGTTCCCCCTATGTTGTAACGGCACAGTATGAGCATGACATTGATGAATCAGCCCACTTACAATTTTACTGTGCATAAGAACATGTTACTATCCCCCCCCTTTTGGAATGTCCTAAAGACACTTCAGTGAGTAGCACCGCCCTGGGGGGCCTTCAACTTAGGTGATGTGACAGAGATACGAGGACAGAGATACGAGGACAGAGATACGAGGACAGAGATACGAGGACAGAGATACGAGAACAGAGATACGAGGACAGAGATACGAGGACAGAGATACGAGGACAGAGATACGAGGACAGAGATACGAGGACAGAGATACGAGGACAGAGTAGGGTTAAGAAAAACTTAACGTGATGTGACAGAGATACGAGGACAGAGCAGGGTTAAGAAAAACTTTGACGAAATTTTAAAAATCCCGTAAGTTTACACCAACTGGTGACTCAAACAGTTTTGTCATCCAAAGCACAGGCCATGGGTAAAAGTTGGTCACAACCATTTTGCCTGAAAACTTTCAAGTTTTCGTTGTAAAGAGGCAAACCCCTCCCAAGATTTAATAAGTAATATCGCTCAAAATGTTACTGGCCTCTGCGGTGTAGCAGTTAAGCACTTCGCTGCCGCACACAAAAGACCTGAGTTCAATTTCAAGGTGAATATTTCTGCAGGGACGTTGTATCCCTCTCAGCCCGGGTTCACTCGCCTGCCTCTTAAATGATCTAAACTGTGTCAGTGGGGGCCTAAAAATACAACTACATTAACTCTTTATCTCTGGCAATCCGCTCCCAGCGGCTCGCGGTCGGAACCACTCTGCCGGTGAGCCACTGACAGCGGCTCGGGCACATTCCTTTACGACTTTGACATCAAATTACTTTTCGACAATTGCCGAAAACAGGTCCTTTAAGCCGGAAGTTCATTAATTACACGAAGATCTATCAAAATAGGTTTGCTTGTTTCGATTTAATGACCCATTTAATTAAGTTTTGGTCATTTTTAGATTTAGCACGAAAAAAAGGCCCCGGCGTAGTTGGTTTATCCCCCTCGGAGATAAAGAGCTAAATGATCTAAACTGTGTCAGTGGGGGCGTAAAAAAAATAAACTGCATTAAAAAAAACACTTTTTAATAATAATAATTGCATTTATATAGCCCATATCCATGCTCAAGAGCACGCTCTATGATCCTTACAACTATTATTACCCCAGCAGACCCTCTGAGAACACTCAGAAACATTCTCGGCTTCCGCGGAAGCATACAGTTTTACTCACAGTGTTGGTGTTCCAACCATTTTGTTGGCCTTGTGCAGGATGGCTCCCAACATAGAAATGTCTTCGGCAGTCTCTCTAGGCAGCTGGCCGCCAGGTTTGATCACCAAAAATCCTTCGACGTAGTCCAGGATGCACTGAAGACACAAACAACAAACTTTCTTTTGAACAGCAGCTCTTACAAATAAATGGTCGCGAACAGCAGCTCTTACAAATAAACGGTCACTTTCAACCCTATCCGTACGATGTGGGGAACTCTGTGCCACCCCTTTCCAAAGAGGAAATTTACTCTTTAATACGATCTGTACGCTTTGCATAGCAGTCTGTCAAAATGATCTTTTAAGAAATACTGAAAGTTTCAAAGAGATCTTCGTAATAGAAGTATTCTAAAATGTGAAGAATACAACCCCGGGGTACAAAATGACCCCTGGGCGTACGGATAGGGTTTAGCACAAGGGGGCTATCCCAAAAAATACGGTTTAAAGGAAATCGAAGGTAAAGTTCTTGAACTCTTATTCAGTTTCTTTAAAAGACAAGGAGAGTTTTCTCTATAAGCAAACAAATATACACACCAATGAAACCAAACTTCTCCTATAGGTAGGGCAATGCCCACTTTTGGTGTAGGTCAAGATTTCTGGAAACCCCCCAAATCTGGGTTAGCCCACTTGTCCTTAAAAGTGACCAAACTAAGAACAAAAAGTCAGGAATAAATAAATAAAGTTCAGCTTCACTAGGAGTTTTTACGGCAACTTGCAGCACAAAAAGGTCCCACAAGTGCAGAAAATTAGAGGTGTCACTAGAGAGCAACACACAAAGAAAGGGAAGTAAGATAAGGACGACAAGTGTTTGATAGGAAAGAAGGAGCAAACCATACCAGAGCACCTGCCAACCACCCACGACACTGATTGTGTGCTGTAAAAGCTTATCAAAGAGCACCCGCCAACCACCCACGACACTGATCGTGTGCTGTAAAAGCTTATCAAAGAGCACCCGTCAACCACCCAGCCTGTGAGAGGCATCTCACCTGGTGGAACATCATGTCGACAAAGATGTCGTTGTCTATGTGTTTGACAGGAAAGAAGGAGCAAACCCCACCAGAGCACCCGCCAACCACCCAGCCTGTGAGAGGCATCTCACCTGGTGAAACATCATGTCGACAAAGATCTCGTTGTCCATATGCTTGAGTGGGAAGAACCAGACGGTCCTCTGGAAGATGAGGTCATAGTTGATCTGTCTCCGCACGTAGTAGGCCGTCTCATCCAGCACGTACTGCTCCCGGCTCAGCTTGCTGAACGTGCCGTCGTCTGGGGAAATACATAAATACATAAATATATACAAATAAATTAATACATAAATACATACAAATAAATAAATACATAAATACATAAATAAATACACACATAAATAAATAAATAAATAAATAAATAAATAAATAAATAAATAAATACACATATAAACATACACATAAATAAATACATAAATACATAAATATATACAAATAAATAAATACATAAATACATTAATAAATATACACATAAATAAATAAATACACATATAAACATACACATAAATAAATACATAAATAAATACCTAAATAAATAAATAAATAAAATAAAACAAAATAAATAAACAAATGAATGAATGAATAAATAACAAATAAATGAATGAATGAATAAATAAACAAACAAAGAACAAATAAATAAATAAATAAATGAAAGGATGAATGAATAAATAAACAAACAAACAACAACAACAAAAATAAAAAAATAAATGAATGAATGAATAAATAAACAAACAAAGAACAAATAAATAAATAAATGAAAGGATGAATGAATAAATAAGCAAACAAAGAACAAATAAATAAAGAAATAAATAAATAAACTACACTTTATTGATTCCAGTGGGGAAGTTTGGGACACAGTGGCAAACACCATACATTAATACGTATTTTGCCTGATCAATGTAAGATGCTGTCATAATATATCACTTTAAAAAGAAAAAGTGATCAGGACGAAAGACGCTTGATAGAAAAGAAAGAGCAAATCACACCAGAGTACCCGCCAATCACACATCACTTGCATTTTCACCACACCAGAGTACCCGCCAATCACACATCACTTGCATTTTCACCACACCAGAGTACCCGCCAATCACACATCACTTGCATTTTCAAACAAGAAGGACAAAATAGCACCACTGACATACATCCGACCCGTAAAGGCCACTTCCATCTTTTTTTACATCTTTTTTCTCCAAGTCATACTAAAACTTTTCATTTCCTTTATCATTTGAAAAAAAAAGAGAAGCAAATGAAAACCAAAACGGTGATTTGGAACTAGGAAAGCACACGTGTCACCACATGCTGGAAACAGGCGCTCGTCAATTTTAGGACATATGGAGTTATTGGTATCATCATAAAAGGCTGTACATTTGCCTTGCTTTCGAGAGAAAAAAATCCATTTATCTTGGATACAAATCAAGATATTGGCGATTGATGGAGGTAGGGGTCACCTGGTTTCAGAGGTAAAAATTAGCAAGAGAATGACTGCCAAAGTGTAGTTATTTCCTCAGCTTGAGAGTTCGTGGAAAGCTAAAATGTACATCTTTTATCTTTGATCAAAGTTTTCCAGTAAAATCCCCACAGAAGAGAGTTGTTTCAGACGCACGAAAGGTGTCAAGCCAAAAACCAAAAGTCAATAAAAATTCCCAAACCTGCAGGAAAATGTCAGTTTCTTCACTTTCATTATTTCGAAAAGCGTCTGATTTCACCACGCTGCCTCACATATGGACAAGAACAAAGTAAACAATAAGCAAAGGACTCACTGGTTCGGACAAAGAAGATGTATTCCTCCATCTCGATGGGGTCGTCGATGTAAAGCCCTTTGCACACTTCTTCTATCGCGTCTTGCACCACCTGGGAGGGAAAGAAAGGCCTCATACATGTTGACCCTATCCATACATCGTGTTTTACTACCGTATCCATACGACATGGAGAACTCTGTGCCACCACTTAACCCTATCCATACATCATGTTTTGCTATCATATCCATACGACATGGGGAACGTGCCACCACTTTTAAAGAAGAAATTTACTCGATAATTCGATCCATACGCTTTGCATAGCAGTCTATCAAAATGATGTTTTGAGAAATACTGAAAGTTTCAAAGAGATCTTCGTACTAGAAGTATTCTAAAATGTGAAGAATACAACCCTGGGAGTACAAAATGACACCAGGGCGTACGGATATGGTTAATATGTGCAAAAGGTGGAAACATTGTGATCAATTGTTGGCACTCACTGCAGCAACAAGGGCTTTGAATACAGTACATAAGTTCAAGTTTTTGTTTTAGTAGAGGTTTTATGGCGCTCGCAACTGAAAGAACATATAAGTTCAAGAAGTCCTTTTGCATAAGGTGATGTAAAACAATAATAATAATCATAACCCCAATAATAATAATAATAATAATAATAACATTTACATAGTGTATATCCATGCCATACAGCAAGCTTGATAGGTCTACCCATTACAACTATTATTACCCTAGAAGACCCTAGAGCACGACTCGCAAACATTCTCGGCTTCCCACGAAGCATACAGTGCAAAAATGCACTCAGTCTTCAAAATGGCAAGGCGCATGAAATAACATTAAAAGTATTTTCTTTTTCAATTACATCAAATTTCTTATATAGAAATAAATATCCATAACAATCTCATCCATACAGCAGATTACCTTCATAGAAAAATTAGCACTCTGATATTTTTTTTTTTTTTAAAGCAACTGAGCACTGAACTATTGATATTTTAGCAACTTTTGTTTAGTTTTAGTAAGAGTTTTACGGCACTTGTAACACAATAAGTTAATATAAGTGCCGAATATTAGGGGTGTTTCAAGAGAGTAACAAACACAAAAAAGAAGGAGGAAAGATCAGGACGATAGATGTTTGATAGGAAAAAGGAGCAAACCACACCAGAGCTCCCACCAACCACCAACTTGGCAACTTTAAAAAAGCTTAGTTATAAGCTATTCAGAACCAGCTTAGCACAAGAGAAAGACCAAAGTTGCAGTGGCTCCTCGCTGCTCACCGTGCAAGACTTGACCTGGAGCATCCCCCCGCGAGTGTCGGCGCCCGAGTAGAAGAACGGGAACCTCTTGCAGTTACGGCCGTCCTGGTGAGACGAGACGAGATGAGATGAGACGGGACGGAAGGGAAGGGATAGGATGAGATGGGACGGGATAGGATGAGATACGATGGGATAGGATGAGATAGGATACGATGAGATGGGATGGGATGGGATGGGATGGGAAGGAAGGGGTGGGAAGGGATGAAATAAGACACGATAGCATGAGATGGGATGGAATGGGATGAGATGAGATGAACTGAGATGAGACGAGATGAAATAAGATGAGATGCGATAAGATAAGGAATCTAGTCAAGAAAAAGCACTCCATTATTATACAGTTCTCTCTCTCTCTCTCTCTCTCTCTCTCTCTCTCTCTCTCTCTCTCTCTCTCGTTCTCTCCCTCTGTAACAACTTAACTTCACTCTCTTTCAAACAATTCTATTTCTCTGTAGTCACTTTAGTCCATGCTCATTCATACATCAGTCACTATATGGGCAAAACTTCACTTTTATTCAAACATCTCTGTATCTCTGTAAGGTCAAAACTTCTCTCTCTTTCACATATCTTTTATTCGATCGGAAATGACTTGACTTATCTCACTTTCATTCACACATCTCTCTTTCTTTGTAATGAATTAAATAATAATAATAATAATAATAATAGATAGCATTTGTATAGCGCATATCCCCGCTCAACAGCAGGCTCTATGCGCTTTACACTATATTATTACCCCAGCAGACCATAGAACACTCCAAAACATTCTCAGCTTCCCGGGAAGCATACAGTGCAAGCAGCTGATTAAGCGCTCAAACACTAACAAACTGACAAGATCTTTCACTGTCTATAGCCGGGTACCCATTCCCACCTGGGTGAAGTGAGGAAAATTCATGTTAAGTGCCTTTCCCAAGGACACACCGTCAGGCCCCTGACGGGATTCGAACCCACGACCTTACGGTTGCGAATCCGATTCATTAATATGAATTAACATCGCTCACATTGACAGGAAAGTTCCCTATCTGTGTAGCAGTTAAAAACTGTAACAATACTCACAGCAAGGGCAAGAACCTCTTCCTTCAGAGGGACATCTTTGCGGCCGCTATATTTGAACGTTTTGCGGAGGTTGTTAAGGCACAAAGCTGCGGCACCTGCCGAATACAGACAACATAACCAAACATATGAAAAAACGATTTTAAAAAAACAAAAAAAAAACCCAACATAGAACCATATGTACTATGATCAAGCTCAGAGAAACATCATAGATTTAATTTACATAACAATATGTAGAATGCTTAATAACACAGAGCGAACCTCAAATGAAAGTGCCCACCCCACTCCGACCTCCGACCCATCTATCTGAAAAAAACGCAACCCCCAAACATCTCAACCAAAAATAAAAATCAAAGTGTCAAGGTAAAAACTATCTGGTTTCTTAGTTTAGTTTTAGTAAAAGTTTTATGGTGTTTGCAGCAGTAAAAGGTCATCCAAAAGCTGAAGATTAGAGGTGTGACTAGAAAGTAACATTAAAAGAAAAGAAGTAGGAGAGATAAGGACGATAGGCCTTTGATAGGAGAGGAGCAAACCACACCAGAGCACCTGCCAAACACCCATTGGTCTCTTCATCATCTGAGACAAGCATTGGCAATCATTGTCTCTTACTTAACTAAACCAAAGATCGTGTATAACAAGATAGTTCACTCCTCTCTTTGAGCCAATTAAAAAAGTGTCCTCAAAATTCGGTGGCGTCCTCTTCAAAAAAGCCCGGATTTGTGTGAAAAACAATAAAAGTGAAACTAACAAACTGTGCTATTCCTATTCTTCTTGTGGAGAAACGAACAAGAGCTTCAAAACAAAGACTGCAGCGCCATCTGAACCAATGCACGTACTTCCGCGGACCTTTTTTTAGCTGAGTGAACAATCTTGTTAAGTGCGATCTTTGTTCCAACAAAAAAGGATTAAAAGCAATAAAAGGTTTCTTTCAGTGGACAACTCACTGTTGTAAGTGCGCGTGGAGTCGGAGGCTGTGCTTTCTAAGTACTTGAACAGGTAAGGCTGGAGAGTGTCCGAGCAGTCGAAATACGCCGCCACCAGGGCAAACAGACGCCAGCCTCGGATCTTGCTCTTACTGTGGGGGAGATGATGACAATGACAATGTAAATGACAAAGACAATGATGATGACAATGACAATGACAATGACAATATAAATGACAAAGACAAGGATGATGACAATGATAATGACAATGATAATGACAATGACAATGTAAATGACAAAGACAAGGATGATGACAATGATAATGACAATGACAATATAAATGACAAAGACAAGGATGATGACAATGACAATGACAATGATAATGACAATGACAATGTAAATGACAAAGACAAGGATGATGACAACGATAATGACAATGATGATGACAATGACAAGATGATGATAATAGTCATTGTCATTGTCATTGATATTATAACAATGACAATGACAATGATGATGACAATGATGATGACAATGATGATGACAATGATGATGACAATGATGATGACAATGATGATAACAATGACAATGACAATGATGATAACAATGATGATAACAATGATGATAACAATGATGATGACAATGATGATGACAATGATGATAACAATGACAATGACAATGATGATAACAATGATGATAACAATGACAATGACAATGATGATAACAATGACGATAACAATGACAATGACAATGATGATAACAATGATGATAACAATGACAATGACAATGATGATTACAATGACGATAACAATGACGATAACAATGATGATGACAATGACAATGACAATGATGATAACAATGATGATATCAATGACAACGACAATGATTATAATGATGACAATGGTAATGAATACGACATGACATTCTTTATTCATCTTGCGGTTAGAAATTTGTCTTCATCGTTTTTTATACTTAAACTTGCCTCTAGAGTTAATTGAATAGATTACAATACAAAAGTTTTATGTAAGAAACTATTGTCACATAAAACTTTCCCTGCATATACACTATAACAAAAACATTTTTTTCTTTCAATGAAAAGAAATATCATGAAAACATTACATTTTGAAAACTATAGAAAGCACCATGATTTGTTTTCCTATTTAAGTTTTCTTTGTTCCCTCTCTTCTTTGAGAGTAGTTTTCACAATGTGAATAAAGACAAGCACACCCTGCAGTCAGGACCAGTCTGGTCTGAGTGCGATACAGCATCTCATGTTTTAAAAAGTGTTTTACGGCACTTGCAACACAATATGGTCACATAAGTGTCAAAGATTAGAGGTGTTACAAGACAGTAACAAACACAAAAAAGAAGGAGGGGAGATCAGGACGACAGATGTTTGGTAGGAAAGAAGGAGCAAACCACACCACAACGCCAGTCATCCACCCACACTTGGGAAATGCTCAACGCACTTTACAATGGTACAAAGACCTTAGATCCAATATCGATCCTTTAACTCCTTCTCTCCCTCCCTCTCTCTCTCTTTCTTTCGCTCTCTCTCCCTCTGTCTCTCTCCCTCCCTCCCCCCTCCCTCTCTCTCTCCCCGACTGACCTGTCCAGTTTGTGCTGCTGACTAACAAGGCCGGCCGCTTGCTCTCTCTCTTTCTCTCTCTCTCTCCCTCCCTCTCTCTCTCTCCCTCTCTCTCTCTCTCAAACAAACCACACTAGAGCACCCGCCAACCACTACAGGCAAAGCCAGCGATCACACCCTCGTCAGCGCGACACTTACTGTGACATGCTGCGGTTGTTGGTGGTTTGTTTACACAGCTGACAGAACACCTCATCACGGAGCTCAGGATGTACGTGGCAACTCTGAAATATATGACGATGATGTTTATGTCATGTTTATGGCATCATCGTGATTGTGGCAACTCTGAAATATATGACGATGATCATGTATGTGGCAACTCTGAAATATATGACGTTGATCATGTTTATGGCATCATCGTGTTTGTGGCAACTCTGAAATATATCATGATCAGGTTTGTGGCAACTCTGAAATATATCATGATCAGGTTTGTGGCAACTTTGAAATACAGTCGAACCTGTGTAAGACAGCCACCCATTGTTAAGGAGAAAAAAGGCCATATAAGACAGGTGGCCGTCTTAGGCAGGACTGATCAAGATGAAGAAAACAAACCATTCCCATCTGAGGTCCCAACCGAAGGTAGCCGCATTGTTGTCGTTGTTATTGTTGTTGTTGTTGTCGTTTTCGCTGTTTTTGTTTTTTTTCATAATTTGGTTGCTGCTTTTGTGCAAGGGTGACAATAAAACGAAATGTGTCAGACAAGGAGGACCGAGTGCTATGGTACAACAAACACATGGGTCGCCACCACTCGGAAAACGAGCAACGCTTTTGTCACAAGTTCATGTTGACGTCCATTGTTACTTTGTTACAGACTGAGTAAAAAGTGACCACTCATCTCACTTACGATTTGTGTACGAGTTCTGGGCGGGGCTTATGCGTTATGAGGGATCACACGCTTACCTCACCAGCAGCTGAAAATGTGTTACCTATTGGTCAACAGTGGGAGGGGCCTACGCAACATGATTGGTTGGAGGGACTACCTAACAACAACGCCAGGAGATTGAATTATGACGGCTCGCCTACAACGCCAGGGGCCAATGCATAATTTATGACAAAACATAATGGAGCCACTGAGGTGGCCGTCTAAGACAGGTATTATTGCTTAGTATGAAATGGGTTGTGAGTTAAAATATGGTGGCCACGGCCGCGTTGGACTGGTGCCCGTTTTATACAGTTAAATTTTATAGAAAAAACGCAAGGGGGGGAAATGGAAAGTGGTCGTTTGTACAGGTGGCCATCTTATAGAGGTGGTCGTCAGGGCAGGTTCGACTGTATATCATCATGATCATGATTGTTTGTGGCAACTTTGAAATATATCATAATCACGATAGCATACGACATTTAAGTACTGCATACGTGTCATTTTAATGACTCTCTCACTCTCTCTCTCTCTCTCTCTCTCTCTCTCTCTCTCTGTATATATATATATATATATATATATATATATATATATATATATTTCTGTGTGTATGTGTATCTGTGTATAACTGTAGCCAAGATATTCTCCAAAATAAAAAAGCCACTTGTTCGTCTAGAGGTATATTTACCTCAAACAAGAAATTCTAGGAGAAGATAAACATCTCTGTGAAAACCAACTACAATCAAAATGGTCCCACATAGCTACCCATTATCGAGGGGAAAAGTGGTTGTCTTACACAGACAGACATCATGTAAAATGCCATATGTGAGGCAGCGTGGTGGAATCAGGCTCTCGTCAATTTTTGGCCATGCAGAGTTATTTGCATCATCTTAAAGCTTGTACATTTGTCTTTATTTGGATGAAAAAAAATATCCATTTATCTTGAATACAAGTCGAGATATTTGTGAAAGAAGGAAGTGGGGGTCACTTGTTTTCAGAGGTAAAATTAGTGAGAAAGTGGCCGCCAAAGATTAGTTATTTCCTTAGCTTAAGAGTCCGTGATAACTGAAAATTTACATTTTTTATGCCTTTAATCAACGTTTTTCAGAAAAATCCACACAGAAATTAGTTCTTTAATGGGCATGAAAGATGTTGAGCCAAAAAACAAAATGATGTAAAAATTCACAAATCTGTTGAAAAATGCAAGTTTCTTCACTTTGGTTATTTTGACGAGAGTCTGATTCCATCACGCTACCTCACATTTTGATACAGAAAAAAAGCAAGGGAGGAAAGGTCATGATAATATCTAACAAAACCCGCAAGGGACGAAGTGGGAAGAGGTCTTTTGTTCAGGTGATTATCTTGGACAAGAAGCCATTAGAGTAGGGTTGTTTTGTTTTTTAAAATTTTTTTAGTAGAGGTTTTTACGGCGCTCGCAACTGCATAAGGTCATATGAGCGCCATGAGCAGGTTTGACTATACTGTATCAAAAATGCACATTTTCCCTGAGAAAGCCTTGTGCGTTAAGCTACCATTAGAAAGGTTGGTTATTCCTCGTGCAGATGCATCGTGTGTCCTTTTAAATAGCTTTTTAATTACACCCCCCCCCCCC